TAGAATGATGCCTGCAGCTGCTGGCATCATCCTGGTATTGTTTTTTTTTTTTTTTCAGCAGGCAATCTGCTTTCATGTAAAAGCAAATCCTAGTGGTTTATTAGCTGTAGGATTGTTTTTACAAGCAGTGGGAGTAGATGCCTCCCCCTCCCCCGCTGTCTTCCATGGACTTCTCGGGCAGTCTTGTGCCATCGGGAGAACCTGAGAATGCAGCTGGTGTTTCTGCCAGCTGACAACAGAGCTGATCGGAGACCAGAATGGTGAAAATTATCTCTGTAGTCTAAGAAATCGGAAGCTATGAGCATTTTATCACATCGGTTTTTACAGGATATAAACAGCGCCACAACATTTTCACTTAAATTATTTATTGCTCCACATGTCATGGGTATATGTGCCATTACCCCCCATTATACATTCTGCTACTTCTCCCCGAGTATGGGGGGGGGTACCACATGTGAAATAATTTTTTGGCCAAGGAATTTGATAAGAAGCATGGTGAGTATTTTGCAGATTTTGTTTGTAGCTACAAGTTTTTTGAAAATGAATAAAGAAAACAAAAACATATTTTTCTTGTTTTTTTATATTTCAAAACCTTGTGAGAAAAAACGAGAACTGCAAATTACTTACAATGCCTCTTTTTATATTCCTTGGGATGTCTACTTTTCAAAAAGGAGTCATTTGGGAGGGTTTGGTACTATCCTGGCATTTCAGGGCCTCCAAAACTGTAATAGGTATTAAGGAAGTGAAATGAGGAAGTTACGCACCTTCAGGCTTTCAACGTGGTCTTTGGATTTCAGTCTCCAGTATGTGGCTAGGCTCCCAAAAAGTCTCACACATGTGGTATCCCCATACTGTTATAAGTAGTAGAATGTATTATTGGTTTTAACTTCACATATACCCATGGCTTGTGTGAGAAAATATATCATTTAAAAATGACAACATTTGTGTACAAAAAAAAATTGTAATTTTCCAAAAACTTGTGGGAAAAAAAAAAAATCTTACATGGACTCAATATGCCTCTCAGCAGATAGCTTAAGGTGTCTACTTTCCGAAAAGGTGTCATTTGGGGGTGTTTGTACTATCCTGGTATTTTAGCACCTCAAGAAATGTAATGGGCGGTCAGAAAGTAAAAGCTGTGTAAATTCCATTATCTATACCATAGTTTGTAGATGTTATAACTTCACACAAAACAATTAATATAAACTTACTGGGATTTGTTTAACCAAAAATATGTAGTAGAATACATTTTGGACTAAATTTATGACAACATTTAATTTTTTTGGATATTTTTTATGACTGAAAATTTAGAAAGAAACTCAATATTTTCTCATTGCGGTCTTTTTTTTTTATTGCGCAAAAAAAAAAAAATGCGCACAGATGATCAAGTACTACCAAAAGAAAAAGCTATGTTTGTGTGAGAAAAGGACATACATTTAATTTATGACTGCAGTTGTCAGTTAAAACTAGTGCAGTGCTGTATAGCAAACATGATGTAAATTGCAGTATCTATACCATAGATTGTAGACACTATAACTTTCACACAAAACAATCAATATACAATTATTGGGATTTTATTTACCAAAGACATGTAACAGAATACATTTTGGACTAAATTTACGACTAACTTTGAGTTTACTATATATTTTTTATAGCAGAAAGTACTTTTTTACTCGGCAATATAGTGTGTGTGTATAATTATATACACTGATTTAAAAAAAGTTTTCCTTGTTTTGAGCAGAGTATAGCTTCAAATCATTTAAACTCCTGGGATAGGAATTAAAAAAAAAAAACAATATTCCACTCATAATACCCATATTGAAAAAAAAAAGCTGTTCTCATATTCTTATCAGAACGGGGTCAACTGTGTTCCTAGGTGTGGTTAACCGTGATACTCCACCCATAATTCCCATAGAGCAAAATACCTATACCCATATTCTTTGGAGAAAACTCAAATATGGTTCTTGACATGTGTATCTGCAATCATCCACCCATAATCCTGGTGTTATAAAAATACTATTCTCATATTATCAGAAGCAAGTCAAATGTGTTCCTAGGCATGTTTAACCATGACATTCCACCCATAATCTCCATGTAAAACAAATCTATAACTATAATACTCATGTAGAAAATAACTATACCCATACTCTTTTCATAAATAGATGAAATATGATCCTTGGCATGTGTATCAACAAAAATGCACCCATAATTCTCATGTAGAAAAAGTATATGTATTTGCTTATCCAAAATAGGTTAAGAGTTACCATGATATCCCCCCATAATCCCAGATATAAAAAGCAATGTTACCCATATATTTATTTAAAAAGGTGAAATGTAATGTGTATGGGATATGTAACCATTATATTCCTCCCATAATCCCCATGCAGATTCATAATAACCACATTGTGATCAGAAATGCATAAACTTTTTGCTTTGTTTATAATTTTTTAATCTTCATTTTGTTAAAGGTTCCCAATAAAACCGTTGAAATGTAATGCTTTCCACATCTCGTACTATATGAAATCAGTAAATCTATTCCTAGTAATATATAGAGTAATGTTTCCATGATTTCTGTATAATTTCCTATGATGCCATGTTACAGCCGCACATATATCAGTCAGTGAAGAGTTAAACATTCGCCTCTACTACGTGTAACAATGTATCAAGCAGAGCAGAAAAAAATAAACTACAAAATTGATCATCCAAAAATCATTAGAAGGACATTGTAGATATTCATATAAAGCGCATTTATTAAGATTTTTTTTTTTATCACTCAAAACTCTCACCATACAAAATCCGACAATATATATAACAAGAGTAAGCCAATATTTGCCCATCTGATGGTCTGAGTCGTGTCTTCCTACGATGTAAGTTGGGTAGATGATGGTGTATATATGTCCCATATTTAGACTTGCATGAATGTATGACTGTAACGGAAGCTTAGTCAGGACAGAGCACACGGAGAAGATGGGGAACACACAAACCTTTTTTGAAGAAGCAAAATGACAGACACTCAATGGGGAAATGGCAGGGAGGGTGATGTGTGCGCAAATCAGGGACAATTCCAGGCACGGGAGTCTTCAGCGACAGGCAGGCAATTTCCACCCTAGGCGTGGGGCCTCAGCCAAGCTCCCTCCGTGACTGGACAGCAGATTGGAGACTTGGCCAAAAGGCGGGCAACCTACCCCTGAGCAGGGGTCTCGGGCAACAGGCAGGCAATCTACCCCTGGGAAGGGGTTTCTAGCAACAGGCGGCAACCTACCACTGGGCAGAGACCTCGGGCAACAGGCGGCAATCTGCCCCTGGTCAGGGGTCTCGGGGACTCAATGGGACTCTAGCTGTGGAGACTGGCCTCAGCACAGCTCCCACCCAGCCATTGGGTTCACGGGGACTCAACAGGTAGCGATGGCTCAAGCACTCAGGGGCACCACAGGTAGCTATACTCTGGGCACGCCATGGGGCGGTTCAAGTAAGGGTAGTCTAGGCGTGTAGTAGGGCAGTGCATAACCCAGGTGGTCTTTGCGCACAACAGGGGCAGTTCAGGACACGGGTGGTCAGTGCACACAGCGGGGCAGTTCGGAACACGGGTGGTCGGTGCACACAGCGGGGACAGTTCAGGACACGAGTGGCCTGTGCACACACCGGGGACAGTTCAAAACACGAGTGGTCGGTGCACACAGCAGGCACAGTTCAGGACACGGGTGGTCAGTGCGCACAACAGGGACAGTTCAGGACACGGGTGGTCAGTGCATACAGCGGGGACAGTTCAGGACACGGGTGGTTGGTGCACACAGCAGGCACAGTTCAGGACATGAGTGGTCGGTGCACACACCGGGGACAGTTCAGAACACGAGTGGTCGGTGCACACAGCAGGCACAGTTCAGGGCACAGGTGGGCAGTGCGCACAACAGGGACAGTTCAGGACATGGGTGGTTGGTGCACACAGCAGGGACAGTTCAGAACACGGGTGGTCGGTGCACACAGCAGGCACAGTTCAGGACACAGGTGGTCGATGCACACAGCGGGGACAGTTCAGGACACGGGTTGTTGGTGCGCACAGTGGGGACAGTTCAGGACACAGGTGGTCAGTGCGCACAACAGGGACAGTTCAGGACACTCACGGTAAGCAGCTTGCAGACCCTCAGCGGCAGGCGGCTCCAGACAGGGACAACCAGTGGTCAGCGTTCCAGGGGCAGACAGCAGCAGCTCCCCGGGCACTCAACAGCGGACAGCTTCCAGGGACACGCAGCCACGGACAGTGTGCAGGGTCCCTCAGCAGCAGCTCCGAGGGCACTCAGCACCAGAGACAGCTTCCAGGGACACGCCGCCACGGATAGTGTGCAGTGTCCCTCAGCAGCAGCTCCCAGGGCACTCAGCAGCAGACAGGGTGCAAGGGTGCTCAGTAGACAGGCTGGCAGGGTCTCAGCTGTGGGGTCTGACCTTTGAGGAGAAGGCTCATGCAGAGCTGTGGAGACTCACAACCCTGGGGTATTGCAGAGGGCTACAGTCCTGACCTTTTGGGGGTCTGCAGAGTGCGCAGGGGGGATGGCTGGGGAAGCTTGGTCCCCCTCACCCGAGCCTCCCAGCATCTTTCTGGGAGCAAGATGATTCGAGCAGCATGGACAGGAACAGAGAGAGAGGGCTGCTTCCTGCGCAGGTCTTTTGAAAACCATGTGGGACACGGCTAGTTTGCCTTGGCAACGGCCGGCCCAGTCCTATCCATGGAAGCTCCACAGACATTGGAATGTGCAAGGGGGCTCTTCCCTCCCCTTAGGGGTGGAGGGATATGGCGGGGGAGGGGAGAGGCACTGGCAGTCCGTGACAAGGACAAAAGTGAGATAAATGACAGGGATGTGTGTAAGTAATAACTGTAAGCAGATGAGCCCTAAACTAGTCCAAGTGTGTCCAGAAGTCCCCATCCTGACAATGTCCCCCATCCCCCAGCAGCATCCCCCTGTATACTGACAATGTCCCCCATCCCCCTGTATACTGACAATGTCCCCCCTCCCCCAGCAGCATCCCCCTGTATACTGACAATGTCTCCCATCCCCCAGCAGCATCCCCCTGTATACTGACAATGTCCCCCATCCCCCCTGTATACTGACAATGTCCCCCATCCCCCAGCAGCATCCCCCTGTATACTGACAATGTCCCCCCTCCCCCAGCAGCATCCCCCTGTATACTGACAATGTCCCCCCTCCCCCAGCAGCATCCCCCTGTATACACGTCTCCAGACATGAGCCTGCTCTGTGCATAGTCCTACATATGTCATCAAACACAAAGCGAACCTGTCCCCCCCATGACCCCTATAGATCTATATTCCTGGATACTATAGGATCGCCCTCCATAGGATGGGAAATACTGACTTCTGTATCGGGGAAGATATACAATGCGATCGGGCGGTTTATTTTCCGGCTCCCACTAGCAGACAATATTCAATGTACAAATGAGAACCTTTACATCTCCAAGAGGGAAAACATCAGAAATTCCGGAATAAGGAGAATGTGGGACTCGGATGGATTTCTTGTACCTAGAATACATCTTCAGATTTATACCTTCCAATCAGATTGTACAACAATGACCGATGTCATGACCCATGGAAGGCCGGCCATACATTCTACAACCTTCCTGTAGATTCCCCCAAACCAGGTGCCCCTCCAATGTGTATCCACATTGGAGGAGGAAAGTCGGCGACTTCTTCCCTCCGTCCTGCTCTGTAGATCTCGGATTAGTAAAGGACGTTCTGGGATGGAAGCTGTCACGTGTTTGTAATGACAATTCGAAAAGGTGGAAATCCTTCCCGCCGTCCGGACAGTAAGTCTCCTCTACATCCGGGTGTCATCTCTGCTTCTCCATAGGAAGAGGTTTGGACGCCGGGAAGGATTTCTATGTTGAACTTTCTGGGGAGAAAGTGATCTCTCGGCGCCCCGGGATTGGGCGGGTTATTTGTAGCTGATAACCGGTTTTCACATCCGAATTCTAAACGGTAAAAGTAGAAAAAGTATTTCAGTGACATCAAAAATCTTCCGGATCAGATCATTTCCTCCCACATTTTCTTATTTGAATAAAAATCTGTCATGGCTTCAATTGGCTATACATTCCAATTTCCCGCCGGAATTCTATGGACCGTTACAGACAATCTGCATCCATTGACCGTTTTATCCGGGAAGATCGATCAATCCTTCCATTCATTCCGAGCATTGCAGATATTCATGTGAAATGTTTTATTTGTACTCAAAACCCGACAAGATGGAGAACTTCCTGCACTAGGAATAGAGGTACTTTTTTACGCGTAAGAAATACATTACTGGCTGATGGAGACAACGCCCACAGCTGTGATTGGCTCAGATTTCAAATTCTGCCGATCGTTCCAGAGAAATATTCCGCCCGATTATACCGCCAAATCCGAGATCACTTTCATTCCAGACAGTTGTATTGATTAGTGAGGGATGTCGGTGATTACTGAGTCATGTCAGTCCTTGTTCTGTTATCTGTCCCCAGGATCCACTAAATCACAATGACTAGAAATGGATTCTGATGATTACTTCCATATATTGTCTTGTATCCATTCTCAGAATCCAGGATTCCCCCCCCCCCCCAACATACAGAACATGAGTGACATACATCATAGATCTCTACCTTTCTATATGATGGGAATAAAGTATTGTACGATTCATCAGATCTGTATACGATCATGTCACTGACCGATATGTGTGTCCCTCCTTCACACATGTAGCAGTTACAGACCCCCCCCCCCCCCCCATATCACATCCAGATTGATACGAAATGTGAACTGACTGGTAGAAATAAGTAATGATGACACCGCCAGATAAATATGTACAATGAATCGATAGAGAAATTACATATGAAGAACCAAATCGGTTCCTTTGTAAGAGCATCCATTAACCCTTTCATTGTTCGGGGCTCAGATCGGCCACAATCGTTATAAGCGCATTGCGATCACCGACATGTTTATGTCACTCAGACCTTAGAATGCAAAATCCGGCATTCCGAACCGAATCCATCCCGATTACTGATCACACTATGCAATCAGGTGATTGGACAGATTCATTGGTGGAATTGCCGAACTATGTCTTTATACATGACGTCATTCTGTTATATAATCCCCCATTACAGGAGGAGCAGATAGAACCCTGGAGATGATCAATCAATAGCCCTTTGTATGAGAAGGTGGGCGGCCCTGAGAAGGGCCTTTGTGACGATGAAGGGGGGGGGGGGGGGGGGTTGTGAGGATTTATCCCCCGAATCCGTAGAGAGTGCGTCCCTGCCGTTTGAGAGCATAGACGACATCCATGGCGGTGACGGTCTTCCTCTTGGCGTGCTCGGTGTAGGTGACGGCATCGCGGATGACATTCTCCAGGAAGACTTTCAGCACTCCGCGGGTCTCCTCATAGATGAGGCCGGAGATGCGCTTGACTCCCCCTCTGCGGGCCAAACGTCGGATGGCGGGTTTGGTGATGCCCTGGATGTTGTCCCGGAGCACCTTCCTGTGGCGCTTGGCGCCGCCTTTCCCCAGACCCTTCCCTCCTTTACCGCGACCAGACATGACGATTCTTCTCTGCTGCAAACACCAATTGAGCGCTGTTAGTCCCGCCTTTCTTTTATAGAGCATGAGCGGACCTGATGGGAACCTTCCTGGGAAGAGGCGGAGTCACACCCATTCATTACACACAATACAATTGGATCCATTTGGAAGCTTTCTCCACGTTCCGCCCTTTTCAGATCCCTTCATGACAATAGAAATCCATCTCCAGGAGAGAAATCTCTTCATTCTTCTCAATGGTTTTCTATTTCTTCCTCGGAGATTACACAGAAACATTCATCTTTCACATTTCAGAACACAAACCATCATCACCAGTTACTATTGTTAGCAGCAATTTAATATTGAGAAATATAACAGCCTGTACAGGCTGTCTCTTTGCTGAAGGGGCTGCCTCTTTCCCTCAAGCAAAGGGGCTGCCTCTTTCCCTCAAGCAAAGAGGCAGCCCCTCCAGCAAAGAGACAGCCCGTATAGCAAAGAGACAGCCCCTCCAGCAAAGAGACAGCCCCTCCAGCAAAGAGTACAGCAAAGAGACAGCCTGTCTAGAAAAGATAAAGCCTTTCCAGCAAAGAGAAAAGCTTGTACAACAAAGTGACAACCCATCCAGCAAAGAGACAGCCCTTTCAGCAAAGAAACAGTCTGCCTAGCTAATAGACAGCCCGTCGAGCAAAGAAACAGTCTATATAGCAAATAGACAGCCTGTAGAGCAAAGATAAATCCCATCCAGCAAAGAGACAGCTCACCCATCAAAGAGACAGCCCAGCCCAGCAAACATACAGCCCATTTAGCAAAGAGACAGCTCGTCCAGCAAAGAGACAGCTCGTTCAGCAAAGAGACAGCCCATCCAGCAAAGATACATTCCCATATTGCAAAGGTGGGATGTCTCTTTGCTGGACTGGGCTGTCTCTTTGCTGGACCCTAATGGGCAAAGAGACAGCCCAGTCCAGCAAAGAGACAGCCCAGTTCAGAAAAGAGACTCCCCATCCAACAAAGTGACAGCCCATACAGCAAAGAGACAGCTAATCAAGCAAAGAGACAACCCATATGGCAAATAGACATCCCCATATTGCAAAGTCTCCTTTCGCGACATGGGTGTCTCTTTGCTGAATGGGGATGATCATTCTTGGACTGGGCCGTCTATTTTCTGGATTGGGATGTCTTTTTGCTGGACCCAACTGGGCAAAGAGACAGCCCGTACAGCAAAGAGACAGACCCATATGAACAGATGGGATGTTTTGTTGCTGGACAGGGATGTCTCTTTGCTGGATGGGGATGTCCCTTGTTGGACTGTGCTCTCTCTTTGCTGGATTGGGATATTTCTTTACTGGACCCATCTGGGCAAAGAGATAGCCCGTCAGGAAAATAGACAGCCCATCTAGCAGAGACAGATGGTGCAGCAAAGACAGCCCATTCAGTAAAGAGACAGCCAGTGCAGCAAAGAGACAGCCCATGCAGCAAAGACAATCCATACAGCAAAGAGGCAGTCAAACCAGCAAAGCTACTGCCACTCCAAAAAAAAAAAGAGACAGCACATTCAGCAAAGGGACAGCTCATCCAGCAAAGAGACAACCTGTCCATCAAAGAGACAGTTCCTCCAGAAAAGAGACAGCCAACCCAGCAAAGAGGCATTTGTACAGCAAAGACAGAACTTCCAGCCAAGAGAAAGCCCCTCAGAAAAGAGACAGCCCATCCAGAAACATTACAGCCCCTCCAGCAAAGAGGCATTCCCTCCATCAAAGAAACAGTCCAATTAGCAAATAAAGAGCCCATCCAGCAAAGACACAGCTTGTACAGCAAAGTTACAGCCTGTAGAGCAAAGAGACAGCTTCTCCAG